GCATGGAATGTTTCTTAGCTAATTTTCTAAGTGTAGCATAACCCAATACCAATACTACCCAAGGAGAAACAAAAAGAACCATTGAGCAATCTGATATACGAAAATAGATGCAAAACTTGGAAATAAATATTAACGACCAATTCAGGAATAAAGAAAACATTACTCTTAAATAGCCTTTATATCAAAAACGTTAAGAGTCATTCAACATTGAGTAACAGTATAATTGTCTACTCTAACCATTTTTAAATAGCTTACAAAAATGTGATAATATCCAACACCAAAATCAGATGCAAACTCACAGAAAATTAGGAATAGAAGGAAATGTTTTAAAATTGATAAATTATATCTGCTGTGGACTCATGAAAAATATATTTAACAATGAAATGTGAGAGGTACATACATCAAGGAAACTAAATATGTCCTCTTTTTGATATCTGTTGCTTCCATTCAACAGTGTTCGTTAGGTTCTAGCTAATACATTAACAAACAAATAAGTATTATAAAAACTGGAAAAAAAGAACCAATAGAACCACTACTATTGTGAATTATAAATCACTGTTTATCTTGAAAACTAAACATTATAAACTGGAACAATAAGTTAACTATGGGGGACCCATGCTCAATACATTCAGTCAAGAGAGATTTTTTTTAAAATTATACTTTAAGTTCTGGGGTACATGTGCAGATCTTGCAGGATTGTTGCATAGGTACATACATGCCATGGTGGTTTGCTGTCTCCATTCCCCCATCACCTACATTAGGCATTTCTCACAACATCATCCCTCTCCAACCTCCCCACCCACCGCTGTCACTCCCCTAGTTCCCGACTGTCAACATACCCCTGTGTGTGATGTTCCTCTCTCTGTGCCCATGTGTTCTCATTGTCCAACACCCACTTATGACTAAGAATATGCAGTGTTTGGTTTTCTGCTCTTGCATCAGTTTGCTGAGAATCGTTTGCAGATTCATCCACATCCCTACAAAGGACATGAACTCATCCATTTTTATGTCTGCATAGTATTCCATGGTGTATATATGCCACATTTTCTTTGTCTGGTCTATCATTAATGGGCATTTGGGTTGGTTCCAGGTCTCTGCTATTGTAAACAGTGCTGCAATGAATATATGTGTGCATGTGTCTTTATAATAGAATGATTTATAATTCTTTGGGTATATACCCAGTAATGGAATTGCTGGGTCAAATGGAATTTCTATTTCTAGATCCTTAAGAAATCATCACACTGTCTTCCACAATGGTTGAACTAATTTACACTCCCACCAACAGTGTAAAAGTGTTCCTATTTCTCCACATCCTCTTCAGCATCTGTTGTCTCCAGATTTTTTAATGATCGCCATTCTAACTGGCGTGAGATGGTATCTCGATGTGTTTTTGATTTATAACTCTCTAATGAGCAGTGATGATGAGCATTTTTTCATATGTTTGTTGGCCTCATAAACATCTTCTTTTGAAAAGTGTCTGTTCATATCTTTTGCCCACTTTTGAATGGAGAATTATTTAAAAAAAACTAGAAATAAGAAACTGCCTTTGGATAGGAAGATGCCATATGCTGAAGATCTCAATTCAAGTTTTCTATAAATTTAAAGCAATTCCAATATAAACTATACACCATAATGAACGGAAAATCATCACAGGAATGCAAGGGTAGTTTAACATCCAACATTCAATGGATGTAATAGACACTATCAATAGAATTAAAAATAAAAACCATATGATGATCTACACTGATGCACAAAAATTATTTGACAAAATGTAGCACATTTGCATGATAAAAACACTTTAAAAACTAGGAACAAAAGGGAATTTCCTCAACCTGATAAAGGCCATCTATGAAATACCCACAAATAGCATTATACTTAACGGCAAAAGACTAAATGTTTCTCCCTTGATATCAGGAACAAGATAAGAATGTCCACACTTAGACTTCTTTTCAGTATTGTGCTGTAGGTTCCCGCCAGGGCAGTCATGCCAGAAAAAGAAATAAAACGCATCTGGGTTGGAAAGTAGGGAGTAAAACTATCTCTGATTATAGAAGACAGGATCGTATATATGTGTGTGTGTGTGTGTGTGTGTGTGTGTGTGTGTATACATGTGTGTGTATGCATATGCATATGTGTATATATATATCTATATATATATATGTGTATGTGTAATTCACTAAGAAACTATTGGAACTAATATATGAGTTCATCAAGCTTGCAGGATACATAATCAATGTATAAAAACCAATGTTGTTTCTACATATTTGCAGTATAAATCAAAAATTAAAATTAAGAAAACAAAGTCCATTTATAATAGCATTAAAAATATACTTAGTAATAAATGGCCAAAATGAAAGCAATACTTATTCTCAAAAATCATAAAACATTGTTGAAAAAAATTAAGATCTAGATAAATGGAAAAATGTTCATATATTAGAAGACTTAATTGTCTTCCAGTTGTTAAGATGGCAATAATTTCAAATTCCTGTACAGATTCAACATAATTCCTATAAACATCCCACCTGATTTCTTTGTAGAAATTGACTTGCTACTTCTAAAATTTAAATGTATTTGTTTGGTACCCAGAAGAGCTAAAAGAATCTTGAAAAGTTGGGGAACTCACACTTCCTAATTTCAAAACTTACTATAAAACCACAGTAATCAACGAAGTGTACTGGCATTACCAAAGACATACAGAGCAACAGAAGAGCACTGAGAATTCAGATACAGAACCATATTTTATGTTCAACTGATGTGCTGGGAAAAAACTTGATTGCTGCATGAAAAGGAATGAAACTGGACCTTTGCCAAACAGCATATACAAAAACTAACTCAAAACAGATAAAAGATCTAAATAGAAGAGTTAAAAATCCATAAAACTCTTAGACAAAAGTATCTAAGTAAATTCCTATGGTCTCTGATTTGGCTCAGATATAAAACAAAAAGCATAAAGAGCAAAAGAAAAAAAAATAGCTAAATTGGATTTCATCAAAATTAAAATCATTTGTACCTCAAAAAAATATCAAGAAAGTGAAAAGACAACCTATCAAAATGGGAGAAAATATTAGCAAAGCAATTATCAGACAAAGTTACATCTAGAATATATGAAGAACTCTTAACAAGTTAATAATAAAAATACAAACAATTCCATTAAAACATGGTCAATGGCTCTAAATAGATATCTCTCCTAAGACAATAGACACATGGCCAATAAGCACATGAAAAGATGCTCTGCATCATTAGTCACTAGAGAAATACTAATCAACACACTAAGCTAGCAGTTTATACCCACTATAATGAAAAAGTCAGATAATAACAAGTGTTGGTGAAGATGTGGAGAAATCAGAACTCTTGTACACAGCTGTTGGGAATGAAAAGTGGTGCAACTGCCATGGAAAGTTTGGCAGTTCCTCAAAAAGTTAAACGTAGAACTACTACATTACCCAGCAATTCCACTCCTAAGAATATACCCTGAACATTGGAAAACAGGCATTCAAACAAAAACTTGTAGAGGAGTGTTCACAGCAGCACTATTTACAAGAGCTAAAATGTGGAAACAACTCAAATGTCTATCAGCAGATAAATGGCTTTTTAAAATGTGGAATATATATCCATAAAATGGAATATTACTTGGTCATAAAAAGAAATGAGGAACTGACATATGCATAATACGTATGAACTTTGAAGATATTATGCTAGGTGAAAGAAGCCAGGCATTAAAGGCCACATATTGTGTGATTCTTTTTGTATAAAACACCCAGAATTTGTAAACCCATGGAGAAAGAAAGCAGACAATGGTTGCTTAGGGCTGGTGAGGCAAGGGGAAATAGAGGAATAAGGAAGTGATAGCTAAAAGGGTATCAAGTTACTTTATGAAGTAATGAAAGTGTTCTAAAATTGACTGATAATAGTTGCACATATCCATGAATATACTAAAAACCACTGAACACTTTAAATGTATGAACTGTATAGTATGTAAATTACATTTCAATAGAGCTGTTTTTAAAAATATTAATAATACAAGGAACAATCAATAATTGCTTCTTGTACCCCTATTATAAGCTCAGTGACAGTCTACATTATAACTTTATATTTTTCTTAAAGCTATTCATTGCTTTATAAATTCCTTCAGTTGTTTCATAATAAAAGTTATTTAAATGTATAATTATTCTATTTTTATCTAAATAAAACCATAGAAATAATTTATCACATAACGAGTGTGCTGAAGTTAAGAACTTGTGTTTTTCTCTAATTACCCTTAGTAAACTTTCTGTCTCTACAAGACACTGCACATAGCACACTTCATACTTGTCTTTTATTACGTCAAATAAAAAATCTATCAGTATGCATCATAAAATCTCTAGATGAGAGCACTCCTTACTGCAGAGGAGTACTGTATTTTGAGATGGACCAGAAAAATGAGGAGAAGAAATAATATCTATTAAAGTACTTAATAGGGCACAAATAGTACCAAGAAAGCCTGGGCATCCATGACATACACCCACACATTTTGACAACTAGAGTCACTTCTGAATGAAGTCTCACTAGAGACCTAAGAGAGTAGCATAGGGAAATATGCCTGTAACTCGATACCATTCACCTTTTGGCTCACAAATGCCTGAGAACATCTAGGAGATAAGAACAATTAAGACGAGAACTAAGTAGAATGAACTTGGAGATCAGTAAATAGAATCAGTTGAGAATTCCTAACATATCCCATATATAAGAGGTGATTTGAAGAACATAAAAAGAAACCAATGTCTTTTCTAAGTACAGCTCTCCATTAATAAAGAAAAGTTCGGAGATTTTTAAAAATGTTACTCAAACTACTCCCCCAAAGTGAACAAAAGTGACAAAGAGATCAAGGTGAATTCCTAAGCACCACATTTGCATAATACTTAAAAATGCCTGTGGAGCAGTAAGTTTAAATGTTCTGTCACATATTAGCACCATGGGTCTAAGGGTTAAATAAAATCATATTCAGAACAAAAACAACCTACCATTATGTGTTCAAGTAGAGAATCTATTGCAACTATGTTATCAAAATATGTTCTGAAAAAAAAGAAAAATAAATCCTGTAAGCAACTTTATTAGATCACACTACATATTAAACTTTAAATACATTTCCTGATTTTGTCTATATTCAAATAAAAACCATAAAGATATATAAAAAATATTTTTAAAATCAGTACGGTAATATTATTTTAAAAAGACAAATAAAACTTTATCATTGACCTTAGCATGAGAATTCTAATTCCAGAGAATGCAATCAGTATTTATTTTACTGATAGATATCAGTGTAGAGAGAAAGTTTATTGCATTTAAAACATATGCAGAAATAAAATTGCATCCACCATATTTAATATTTTCATTAATAACTCTGATCTAAAATAAAACTATTTAAATGTGCTAAATCTCAATAGTTAAATATAAATTATCACTGAAAAACTGGAGAAAGTTAATATTTAGTTTAAGTGTACTAAGAAAGTAACATAAATCATTTGAGCAGAAATGTCAGATTACAAGTAATGTTATGGATCTAGTGACTTTATATGAATATACATTCATTATTACGAACAGCAAGTAAATGTTTCAGAGACAAATAGTACATATACTAAAATGTAAACCTGAAAAAAGAAAAATCAATATGCCTGTAACATACAGAAAACGTAAAGAAGAACTCTTAAGACAGACTCTAAAGTCTAGGTAACGCTTTACCTAGTTGGCTGAGGTAACCAAGGGGAGCTTTCTCAGTCCTATACTTCTTTAATTGTATTATTTCAAAAAAATGCTTGAAACATAAACTAGTAACTTCAAACTAATTGATGAGGATCAACAGTAATTACTGACGAGTCAATTGTTAAGTGCATATACAGTGATATGAGACATAACGTGCCATAGTCACTGCTGGGGGCCACAGCGGGACAAAGTACAATACTCCTTTAGTAAGCTTGTAGGACATGACCCTGAAGTTGCCACATCCTGGGGCATATTTTAGATTTCAGTGATTAATTATACGGGTCAAATATATAGAAGATGTCCCCTGTCATAAATAAAACCAATAAAAACCTGTGATCTGATAAATGCCTATTATATAAGTACTTCCATTACCAGTCAAAGAGTTTTTCTAGGTCAAACCAGGGAAATGGAACATTTTCTCAGAAATGCTAACTGAGATACTATATATGGAACATTTAAATAATAATATTAATAATGTTTAATTTACTGACATTGTTAGACAAACCAAATAGGACTTTTTGTGGAAAAAAGAGTCCTACTGTAGGCATTACTCTCCTGAAAAAATAGAAATATTTAGCGTCTTTAACATGTTCTAAGAGAGTCTATTTAGACAATAAGTATCAAACTGAAAATTAAGATCATCACATGTGTATCTGCAACCCTTCACTTTAGAGTGAACGTAAATGGGAATACGACTCTACAGTCCATAATATGATCATCCACACTTCCCAGACTACCTGTAAAGACGGGTCTTCAGTTATCAGCTGCAATAGACCCTAGCATATTTCTGCCACGGGCTGCACTTAATTTAAACCACTGATCACTAAGAACTACCACGTAACCAGAAATCAACACTTACTTTGATACATCGAGTAGAAAATCATTCAATTCAGTCTGTTTGGCAAGGCCTCTGCATACCTGCCATGTAAAACAAAAGCTACAATTATAAAAGAATTCTCCTTATTCAAAAATTAAACTTCCAGAAGACTGTTTACTTTATTTATTGAAAGAAGGCCTAACACAATCACTGCCTTATAATGTAATAATGATACCAACAACCGTTACTATTTACTGAATACTTAAATGTGCTAAACGTTGTTCTAAGTACTTTATATTCATTGCCTCAGTCACCACAAAACACCACAGGTCTGGAATTTGTATTTCACACTGGAGGCATAGGGATGTGAAGAACATCCTGAGGCTGCAGACCTAATAAGGGGCAGAAGCAGCACTCAGGTCCAGGTAGTCTACTCAAGTCCCTCTTTACAACTGCTTTACACTGTCCTTTTAAAAACGGTAGTGGAGCACATATTCCACCTGTACTTGGTAATTCAAGAGTCTTTTCTACTCCTTTATCCTACAGCTTGGAATTCCTTCCTTGCATACAGTTCCTCCCTTATCAACCTCAGTTTGCTGAAACAGAAGTAGAAAAATAAAACCACCACCAAAAATTGGAAAGAGAGAGGGAGAAAATGCAAACCAAGGTCATATTGCTACTGCGTTCTCGAACTTTAAAGTCTAACCACCTGTAAAACTCTAAGTAGTTGGTGATTTTTAAATAATACCTTCAAGAGAACCAGATATCTTAAAGTTAGAATGTTTCACAGACTACTCAAGGAAAATTTAATTTAGGAAATAGACTCATAAATATATCAGTGCAACTCCAGTAAGAGATTGCTCCTAGGTTTTCAGTAGAAAATACTATAGCAGGACATAAGCCATTTATTGCATAAATTGTGTATGTGTGTATTTTATATATAGATATATATGCATCTGAATACACACACATATAATTGCAAAATAAGGTGGGATTAAGCAGATATAAATGGTTAAATTAAAATTTCTAGAAACAATGGAATATTCTAATATCCCAAAATAAGGCTTTAGGTAACTTAACGTCTACTTCAGTCTTCAATGCTATACTTTATTATTTTTTTAATTTTTTAATATACATTTTATTGCGTTTTAGGTTTTGGGGTACATGTGAAGAACATGCAAGATTTTTGCATAGGTACATACGTGGCAAACCACAATGCTACACTTTAAAAAACTCTTCTCTCTTAGGAAGCCCCTGCAAAAACATTCCAAAGACTCACCTGCACCTGATGTATTGCTACTGAAGCCCAGGCAAGGTTCGCTGTTGCAACCTAAAAAAATTAGAAACACATACCTATAAATAACAATACATTATAATATATAACAAGCTTTTATCAGTCATCTCAACAAAGGACTGTGGCATACATGCATAGGAAGAATTTTCTGAGATCACTGAGTTTTGAACGTTTTGCCAAACACAAAGCACCAGTTATTTACAAGGTTTTTCTTTTATATTTTCCTCTTCTTTTTAATTGACTTTAATGTTCTCTTGTTCATCTTAATTTGGGTAAAATGGAAAACAAACTGATTGTTATGAGAGCTATAGCCCAATGATTTAAACATAATCATTATTTTTCAGCTCAACAAAAATACTATCAAAAAGAAATCTAATGACCACTTTAAATGAAATATTTTTAAAATGTAAAAATCATATATATACACACATACATACGTATGTACATGCACACTAGCTAATGAGTTGCTCAAAATTACTAGCTATTCTACTTCTCTTATTATTCATTCATTCAGCCAATATTCATGAGGCCTATTATGTACCAGGCACTATTCTAGGGGCTGGAGATACTGTAGTAAAGAACAGAAATGGAGTAGCTTTCTTTGTACTTCAGGGAGAAAGACAAGAAAGAAAATAAGTGTAGCCCATAATATAGTAGATGGAGACAGGTGCCACAGAGAAAAAGCAGCAGGAAGAGAGAAAGACATACTGGATAGGAGCCATTCAAAAGTACTTGAAGCGTTCAGGGAGGGCCTTGTAGAAAAGGCAACATTTGAAGAAATTCCCGAAAGATGTGGCCATGACGATGATAAGTGGAGAGAAAAAAAATCCAAAGGACTGCCAGCCTTGCCCAGGGACCCAGTGTGGCTGCTGAGTGAGTGAGGGACAGCTGGAGTAGGCCAGCCTTGCCCAGGGACCCAGCATGGCTGGTGAGTGAGAGTCAGCTGGAGTAGGTCAGCCTTGCCCAGGGACCCAGTGTGTCTGGAGTGAGTGAGGGACAGCTGGAGTAGGTCAGCCTTGCCCAGGGACCCAGTGTGGCTGAAGTGAGTGAGGGACAGCTGGAGTAGGTCAGCCTTGCCCAAGGACCCAGCGTGGCTGAAGTGAGTGAGGGACAGCTGGAGTAGGTCAGCCTTGCCCAGGGACCCAGTGTGGCTGAAGTGAGTGAGGGACAGCTGGAGTAGGTCAGCCTTGCCCAGGGACCCAGTGTGGCTGAAGTGAGTGAGGGACAGCTGGAGTAGGTCAGCCTTGCCCAGGGACCCAGTGTGTCTGGAGTGAGTGAGGGACAGCTGGAGTAGGTCAGCCTTGCCCAGGGACCCAGTGTGGCTGAAGTGAGTGAGGGACAGCTGGAGTAGGTCAGCCTTGCCCAAGGACCCAGCGTGGCGAAGTGAGTGAGGGACAGCTGGAGTAGGTCAGCCTTGCCCAGGGACCCAGTGTGGCTGAAGTGAGTGAGGGACAGCTGGAGTAGGTCAGCCTTGCCCAAGGACCCAGCGTGGCTGAAGTGAGTGAGGGACAGCTGGAGTAGGTCAGCCTTGCCCAGGGACCCAGTGTGGCTGGTGAGTGAGGGACAGCTGGAGTAGGTCAGCCTTGCCCAGGGACCCAGCGTGGCTGAAGTGAGTGAGGGACAGCTGGAGTAGGTCAGCCTTGCCCAGGGACCCAGTGTGGCTGGTGAGTGAGGGACAGCTGGAGTAGGTCAGCCTTGCCCAGGGACCCAGCGTGGCTGAAGTGAGTGAGGGACAGCTGGAGTAGGTCAGCCTTGCCCAGGGACCCAGTGTGGCTGGTGAGTGAGGGACAGCTGGAGTAGGTCAGCCTTGCCCAGGGACCCAGCGTGGCTGAAGTGAGTGAGAGTCAGCTGGAGTAGGTCAGCCTTGCCCAGGGACCCAGCGTGGCTGAAGTGAGTGAGGGACAGCTGGAGTAGGTCAGCCTTGCCCAGGGACCCAGCATGGCTGGTGAGTGAGGGACAGCTGGAGTAGGTCAGCCTTGCCCAGGGACCCAGCGTGGCTGAAGTGAGTGAGGGACAGCTGGAGTAGGTCAGCCTTGCCCAGGGACCCAGCGTGGCTGAAGTGAGTGAGGGACAGCTGGAGTAGGTCAGCCTTGCCCAGGGACCCAGCATGGCTGGTGAGTGAGGGACAGCTGGAGTAGGTCAGCCTTGCCCAGGGACCCAGTGTGTCTGGAGTGAGTGAGGGACAGCTGGAGTAGGTCAGCCTTGCCCAGGGACCCAGCGTGGCTGAAGTGAGTGAGAGTCAGCTGGAGTAGGTCAGCCTTGCCCAGGGACCCAGCGTGGCTGAAGTGAGTGAGGGACAGCTGGAGTAGGTCAGCCTTGCCCAGGGACCCAGTGTGGCTGCTGAGTGAGTGAGGGACAGCTGGAGTAGGTCAGCCTTGCCCAAGGACCCAGTGTGGCTGCTGAGTGAGTGAGGGACAGCTGGAGTAGGTCAGCCTTGCCCAGGGACCCAGCATGGCTGGTGAGTGAGGGACAGCTGGAGTAGGTCAGCCTTGCCCAGGGACCCAGCATGGCTGGTGAGTGAGGGACAGCTGGAGTAGGTCAGCCTTGCCCAAGGACCCAGCGTGGCTGAAGTGAGTGAGGGACAGCTGGAGTAGGTCAGCCTTGCCCAGGGACCCAGCGTGGCTGAAGTGAGTGAGGGACAGCTGGAGTAGGTCAGCCTTGCCCAGGGACCCAGCGTGGCTGAAGTGAGTGAGGGACAGCTGGAGTAGGTCAGCCTTGCCCAGGGACCCAGTGTGGCTGAAGTGAGTGAGGGACAGCTGGAGTAGGTCAGCCTTGCCCAGGGACCCAGCGTGGCTGAAGTGAGTGAGGGACAGCTGGAGTAGGTCAGCCTTGCCCAGGGACCCAGCGTGGCTGAAGTGAGTGAGGGACAGCTGGAGTACGTCAGCCTTGCCCAGGGACCCAGTGTGTCTGGAGTGAGTGAGGGACAGCTGGAGTAGGTCAGCCTTGCCCAGGGACCCAGCGTGGCTGAAGTGAGTGAGGGACAGCTGGAGTAGGTCAGCCTTGCCCAGGGACCCAGCGTGGCTGAAGTGAGTGAGGGACAGCTGGAGTAGGTCAGCCTTGCCCAGGGACCCAGCGTGGCTGAAGTGAGTGAGGGACAGCTGGAGTAGGTCAGCCTTGCCCAGGGACCCAGCGTGGCTGAAGTGAGTGAGGGACAGCTGGAGTACGTCAGCCTTGCCCAGGGACCCAGCGTGGCTGAAGTGAGTGAGGGACAGCTGGAGTAGGTCAGCCTTGCCCAGGGACCCAGCATGGCTGGTGAGTGAGGGACAGCTGGAGTAGGTCAGCCTTGCCCAGGGACCCAGCATGGCTGGTGAGTGAGGGACAGCTGGAGTAGGTCAGCCTTGCCCAGGGACCCAGCGTGGCTGAAGTGAGTGAGGGACAGCTGGAGTAGGTCAGCCTTGCCCAGGGACCCAGCGTGGCTGAAGTGAGTGAGGGACAGCTGGAGTAGGTCAGCCTTGCCCAGGGACCCAGCGTGGCTGAAGTGAGTGAGGGACAGCTGGAGTAGGTCAGCCTTGCCCAGGGACCCAGCATGGCTGGTGAGTGAGGGACAGCTGGAGTAGGTCAGCCTTGCCCAGGGACCCAGCGTGGCTGAAGTGAGTGAGGGACAGCTGGAGTAGGTCAGCCTTGCCCAGGGACCCAGCGTGGCTGAAGTGAGTGAGGGACAGCTGGAGTAGGTCAGCCTTGCCCAGGGACCCAGCGTGGCTGAAGTGAGTGAGGGACAGCTGGAGTAGGTCAGCCTTGCCCAGGGACCCAGCGTGGCTGAAGTGAGTGAGGGACAGCTGGAGTAGGTCAGCCTTGCCCAGGGACCCAGCGTGGCTGAAGTGAGTGAGGGACAGCTGGAGTAGGTCAGCCTTGCCCAGGGACCCAGCGTGGCTGAAGTGAGTGAGGGACAGCTGGAGTAGGTCAGCCTTGCCCAGGGACCCAGCGTGGCTGAAGTGAGTGAGGGACAGCTGGAGTAGGTCAGCCTTGCCCAGGGACCCAGCGTGGCTGAAGTGAGTGAGGGACAGCTGGAGTAGGTCAGCCTTGCCCAGGGACCCAGCGTGGCTGAAGTGAGTGAGGGACAGCTGGAGTAGGTCAGCCTTGCCCAGGGACCCAGCGTGGCTGAAGTGAGTGAGGGACAGCTGGAGTAGGTCAGCCTTGCCCAGGGACCCAGCGTGGCTGAAGTGAGTGAGGGACAGCTGGAGTACGTCAGCCTTGCCCAGGGACCCAGCGTGGCTGAAGTGAGTGAGGGACAGCTGGAGTAGGTCAGCCTTGCCCAAGGACCCAGCGTGGCTGAAGTGAGTGAGGGACAGCTGGAGTAGGTCAGCCTTGCCCAAGGACCCAGCGTGGCTGAAGTGAGTGAGGGACAGCTGGAGTAGGTCAGCCTTGCCCAAGGACCCAGCGTGGCTGAAGTGAGTGAGGGACAGCTGGAGTAGGTCAGCCTTGCCCAGGGACCCAGTGTGGCTGAAGTGAGTGAGGGACAGCTGGAGTACGTCAGCCTTGCCCAGGGACCCAGCGTGGCTGAAGTGAGTGAGGGACAGCTGGAGTAGGTCAGCCTTGCCCAAGGACCCAGCATGGCTGAAGTGAGTGAGGGACAGCTGGAGTAGGTCAGCCTTGCCCAAGGACCCAGCGTGGCTGAAGTGAGTGAGGGACAGCTGGAGTAGGTCAGCCTTGCCCAGGGACCCAGTGTGGCTGAAGTGAGTGAGGGACAGCTGGAGTAGGTCAGCCTTGCCCAGGGACCCAGCGTGGCTGAAGTGAGTGAGGGACAGCTGGAGTAGGTCAGCTTTGCCCAAGGACCCAGTGTGTCTGGAGTGAGTGAGGGACAGCTGGAGTAGGTCAGCCTTGCCCAGGGACCCAGCATGGCTGGTGAGTGAGGGACAGCTGGAGTAGGTCAGCCTTGCCCAAGGACCCAGCGTGTCTGAAGTGAGTGAGGGACAGCTGGAGTAGGTCAGCCTTGCCCAGGGACCCAGTGTGGCTGAAGTGAGTGAGGGACAGCTGGAGTAGCAGGGGATGTGGTCATTCAGGCAAGTGGACAGGAATTAGGTCACTGAAGGGAATTGGTTCATATTGGATGTGATAAATATTTTAATATTTGGTTTTAGTATTAATGAGCCAATTCAGTGAATAGTGAATGGAACTCATGGTTTTCTAAATGTATTTGACACTAGAAACTTTTTTTCAGGACACGAGCTAAGAAAAAGACATTTTAAAGAAGACTTAACCAGAGGGTGAAAATTCTCCAAAGTCATTCTACTACTTTCTATGACTAAGAGTATGGCATACCTTTTATCGTTATAATGGATTGTTTTTTGTTTGTTTTGTGTGTGTGTGTGTGTTTTCTTTTTTTTTTTTTTTGAGACAGAGTCTCGCTCTGTTGCCCAGACTAAAGTGCAGTTGTGTGATCTCAGCTCACTATAACCTCTGCCTCCTGGGTTCCAGCAATTCTCTGGCCTCAGCCTCCCAAGCACCTGGGACTAACAGGCATGTGCCTCCACGCGCAGCTAATTTTTGTATTTTTAGTAGAGATGGGGTTTCCGCATGTTGGTCAGGATGGTCTCGATCTCTTGACCTCATGGTCTGCCCACCTCAGCTCCCAAAGTGTTGTGATTACAGGCATAAGCCGCTGCACCCAACCTGGATTCTTATTCTTAACTTAACAGAAGGACCATATTCCTAATGTAACCAGTTTCCTCTCTAAACAGAAACAGGTTTTAAAATCACCATTATTAGTATAAAAACACTGTTAAGCAAACTGTGATTTTAAATATTCATTCACATATTTTCAGTTTAGTATTACTTAGCAATACTAACAAGCACCTTCAATGAGCTAGGTAGGACTACAAATTCTAACAAGCAGCATTTAAAGGCCTCACCTCCTGGTGACTAAGACAGAAGGCTTCTTTGCCCCAGTGCCGATACAGCTCAAGAATACCAATCAAGTCACCAATTGCAGTGACAATTGGTAAGCAAAGAACAGACTGGATGCGAGTCCCTGATTCCAGTCCAGTACCTCGTGGAAATCGTTCATCCTGAAAAACAAAAAGAGAAAAAGATACAAATTCAGTGAAATGATCATTAAGTTATAATTCCTATTTCTATCAGAAATTGCCAGGATACTTGTAATCAATAATAAGCAGTACTTTTCAAAGAAAAACCAAATGATGAGAGCCACCATAAATCTTATGTAAGAAAATGCTTACATTTTCATGGAACTTGTGCCCAGACCCTGCTTTAATATTTCTTTATCCCTATGAAGTATAAATGTAATGAATGAATGACTGTTAATTCCATATGATAATAAAAATAATCATAAATGCTGACATTTATTCATCATCTTCTGTGTGCCAGAACAGTCTTAGGGTGTTTACAGGTACAACGCCACAGAGAAAATTACTCCAAATGTAAATACTATGTGAAGAAAATTATATATAAGCTTTTTTCTATTTTTAAGCCTAGAATAACACAAGTGTGAGTTAATAACAGTTGTTCTAATTGAATCTCAAAGACCCACATTAACTATTCAAATCACCTAATAATGATCAATTATTTATCATAAGAAATAAAATTGGTTCACTGATTTAAATAATTTTCTAGCTTAGCAAATTTACTCAAAGGAAGTACAGGGAAATTGAATAAATTAGTATCAAAAGTACCAATTCTACTTATTCAATTTCTACTGTCTGTAGGAAGCTATCAGGCATGAATTAGAACTTCATGACATAGTATAACTCTGTATTTGTAATTTACAGATCTTTTGAAAGCTTACATACACAACAGAACATTTTCAAATGAGAACTTATATATTATGGAGCCTTCCTTCTCTTCTTTTCTCCCTTCCTTCCTTCTTTTTCTTCTCTCCTTCCATATCTTCCTTCCTTCCTCTAGCTACCCAATTTATTCAAGGTCATACATATAATGGTGGAAAAAACAAAATTAAAACCCGGGTTTCATGACTCCTATTAGCACTTAGAGCAATTTTTTGCACCTATGTACTTGTTTGCCTTGTTACCTTTAAAGTCTAGACTCCATGTAGTAAAATTTCATTAAAATGTCCACATGTACTGTGGAAGACTAGACTGAGGGCTCCGCTTTGTCTTGTTTCTCTGTATCTATGTCCTTTGTTAGTGATCAGTACTGATTCTTGGCCTGTCCATGTGATTTGCTTTGGCTAATGGGAGGGCAGTGAATCTGATGGAAGCAGAGGCTTGAAAACTCTCTTGTATGTTCCCACTACTTCTCTCGGACTCCTACTACCATCACAAAAACATGCAGCATGGCTTTACTGAAATTGGGTGAGAGACACATGGAAAGCAGAGGGCATAAGAGGCCAGCCAGCACCTAACTGGTGGCCAGCTGACCTCAGACGCTTGGGCAAGCACAACAGACAGCAGTCCAGATCAGCAGAATGACCCCGTCCTTAGATTCCTAAGAGACAACATGTGGCTACTGTATGATACCACTAAAATCTGAGGTAGTTTGTCGTATAGCAATAGCTAACTCATTCATATCCATCCTAGCAAAATACGCAACATACAACAGTAATCATTTAGTTTATTTTATATAAATATAGACAGTATTTTTGTATTTAACTGAACTGGCATGTGTTGAAATAAGAACCATTCAAATCTAGTTCTTAGTGGGTAAAAGGAATTTTCTGAGTACAAACCATTAACTTTCACATTAATATATTGATCTCTAACCAGCTTTAATGCTTTTTAAAATGAAACGATTTAAGTTAAAACATCAAAATGATATGCCATCTTTCTTAATTAAATACTTTAGGTTAAAAATATTGCAAAGAGTCAAAAAGCCACTTACCCCAAGGATGTCTTCTACTAGCAGTGTTTTCCTGGACTTGGCCACATAAGCAGAGATGGTGGTGCCCTGGGTGATGGGCCCAGCAGGGATGAGGCGGGGTTTTCCTTCCTTTATCCCAGGTGGTGTGAATATGCACAGGCTCTAGGGAGAACAAAAGATGTTTTACAGAGTTTCCTGTACATGTGCATGGTACAAAAAGACACATGCTAATCTCACTCAATAGTCATAGTAAATCTGTGAGCCAATTAAAATAAGAGTCATAAAATGAGGAAAGGTGCTTTGCCGTGATCAAACCAGATTATCGAAAGTGAAACTATCTCATATTTCCAGTTCACAAAAAACACAGCACAGAAACATTCTTCTAATAGCTCCTATGTTGATACATAGAAAATAGTGAAATGAGAAAAAAATGCATCCTGTCATTGAGATCAGGATTCTATCAGACCACAAAGGCTCCAACCTCCCTATAGACTTGACGCGTGTTACCTGAAGATAGAATCAGTACCCGTAAGTCAAGTCATTCAGTTATATTTTTCATTTTCATTAGAAATCTTCCCTTCTTAGAACCTTCTCTTTATAAGACTCACTCACATTGCTTCAATTGGCTAGTTTATAAAACTGCAGATTCAGAATACTCTAGATGAAAACTTTGCTCTTCTCTGAGCACAAATCTTGACAAGTCTGAGTGATCTTTCCTTTTCAAATCACCGGTGAGAGGGCAAAGTCCTGAAACTATTTTTTTTTAAACAGTAGAAGCAGTTATTTGGATGAAATCCAAACAAATTTTTAAATTATTTTCTACTAAATAAGAATTGCTACTTAAATCATGTAGAAATTGGGGGCAATATTTTGATATAATTGTATTATGACTATCTACAAAATTTTAAAATATTAAGATTTGGGTCAATTTCCCACAGACCTCACATTATTTTTATGCTATGTTGGATTATTATAACAAAGGATGAAGACAATTTGAAGTATGAAGCACCAGGTAGCCCTCTTAACCTAAGCGCCTTTCTATAATACTTGTTATTACTAAGGTAGTTCTAAGGATGAGACAGATACATTATTTAAGCTTTGTAAAATTAGAGAACTCTTTCTTTAAACATCTTAAAATAAAAAGAGAATGAACTCCATAAACTTGACTTAATGAAATGCATAAACTTGGTTTAATGAACAATGAGGAAGAAAGAAGAATGCAAATCTTTGCTTTAAACCTGGGTGCTTTAAACAAATAACAATTATAAATGATTAGAAGCTAAGTTCAAAATACTTGCATTTCCAAGTATATCTACATAGGTTGTAATTAAGTTGTACTTGCTATTAAGTACAACTTAATGCATGTGAAAAATATATTTAAGTAATTCTTTAAAAAATAAGCTTAATATTTTATTTAAATACAAAGTATACACTTACAGATTAAAAAATACATATATGATGAATGACAGTTTGAACTTAGCTATTTTTTTAAAGGCCACAAAAACTACCTTGTAGTTACTATAATTATGTTGGGCACCAATATACACATGGCATAGAGTAAGACTGTCATTAGATTCAGTATCCATCATTGTCCTAATTCAATGCAGCTTGTCACCCTTTCTTAAGACACAAAGAGTAGAAAAGAAATTCAAGAACAAGAAGAAGAGACAAATGGGAGCAAAAAATTTTAAACGTGGTATATCTAGCATTAAGAAAAATTAGAATTGACAGTGATTTTCTTAAACTATAAGAAAGTAACTGTCCCTTTTCTCTACCGAAGACAGAACTGCAGGAAATGAACATAAACTGAACTGAGTGGGGTTCAGGTAACTCTTAAAGAAGAATATGCCATGTTAAAAACAGAAGGTGAACTCTGGAGCAAGCTTCGAACAGTAGCTCTCTATTTTTTTTTGAGACCGAGTTTCGGTCTTGTTACCCAGGCTGGAGTGCAATGGTGCAATCTCGGCTCACCACAACCTCCGCCTCCTGGGTTCAGGCAATTCTCCTGCCTCAGCCTCCCGAGTTGCTGGGATTACAGGCACATGCCACCATGCCCAGCTAATTTTTGTATTTTTAGTAGAGACGGTCAACATTTACCATGTTGACCAGGATGGTCTCGATCTCTTGACCTCGTGATCCACCTATCTCAGCCTCCTAAAATGCTGGGATTACAAGTGTGAGCCACCGCGCCTGGCCTTAGCTCTCTACTTTTTATGGCGGCGTGTGGAGGGAGTCACAGTGTTTGGCTGCATTTGTTCGTTTGAAAATATAAAACACATATCTTTTTTTTTTTAATGACTTAGCCATAGGCCCTTTAAAGCTGAATTTAATCACATGTTCAAGTTATATATAGTTTCATAATCCAATAATGATAGACTATCTTACACATTCCTACAGCATTAGATGATCATATATTTAATATTATAAAACATGTATTGCTTCTGTGTAGGTTGCATATGATACACAAGAAATAGGTAAGCAAATACTGGGCTCAAGAGTCTATGGAAAGCTCTTCTATTAACCTGCTGAAAATAAAAGGCTTAGAAGTCTTTCAACTACTTGCTAGAATATGAAAAACTTCTCCATGTAGTTAAAATAACTGAATAATGCTTTACAGTGGAAACTTTATACTTGTCTTCCTAATTAGCTGATGATTTTTGTTCCTATTAATCAAACCGAAATGTTTCCCGTGCCAGCTGACAATAAGTACAAACAACACATTGAATACATTGAGGTATTAGGGCCAAAACCGCCAGCAGAAGGGAGAACGATGACTAAGCTAAAAACACACACGCTGCTGACGTTTTCAGGGCTACACTTCCTCTCCTTTGTATTGGGGGTCCCTCCTCTGTTGTTTTGTTTTGTTTGCCCCCAAACAATTGACCTGCAAAAGCTCCCTTTTTAACCTTCATTTCTAATTGAGGATCAGTCACTGGTTTGAAGCACTTTTTAAATGATTTTTGTGGTTGAATGCATTGATAGGTAGCTACCTGTCACAAATACAAAAGGTCAGTAACGAACCTCTATATAGAGCTTGAATTTTACACATATTCAGGGATAGAGAAAAGTTGATTCAAACTCCCTTTATTCCACAGATACTGTCGAGTAGAGGGTCATGTACTGACTAATTATCATTTTCCCACTAATTGAACCGCCACCTTCACACACTTCACCCTCAAATATACTTGGGTCTGTTTCTGAACTCCCAACTCCGTATCACTGGGTTTACTTGTGTACCACACTGTTTTAACTACTATGAAAAGTTTACAATCCACTTTGTGATTTGGCCAGGCAAGTCCTGACTTAGTTGTATTTCAAAAAAAAATCATGATTTACTTTATAAGCTACACACTTTGGCCTGGAGGCAGTGACTCATGCTTATAATCCCAGGGCTTTGGGAGGCTGTGTCAGGAGGACGGCTTGAGACTAGGAGTTCAAGATCAGCCTGGGCAACACAGTGAGACCCCATCTCTATAAAAAATTTAAAGAATTAGCTGGGTGAGGTGGTGCATGCCTGTAACACTAGCTGCTTGGGAGGTTGAAGTGGGAGGATCACTTGAACCAAGGAGTTTGAGGTTACAGTGAACTAAGATTGTGCGACTGTATTCCAGCCTGGGTGACAGTGCAAGACCCTGCTTCAAAAAAAAAAAACCAAGACATATACTTTGCATTTCTCATTGGTGAAGTAACTACATGAATACATTAATAAATCATTAATAAATGATTGAGGTAAATAAGTTCTAAAGACATTTACACAGAAAATAAGGACTTAATTTTTCAAAATCTATCAATATAATTTTTGACTTAGAGATTTAACTGGAATATTCAGATTAATAAGATAAAAAACCATATGCTCACTACATGAATGAAAATATCAGGCATTATTTTAGGAAGTATTAAGCCTCTTATACATATATTTACAATATCGAATTTATCTATAATATCCCGTGTTGAACTGAGTCTCTAAGATCAGCTCCTTCTCCTCTATTGCATAAATATATAAGGACAAGCTTTTTTTTTAAGAATCTAGAGATAAAAACTACAACTGAAAAAACAAGGAAAAGATTGAAAGTTTCAAACATTAACCACCTCTGTCCCTTCCAGAGAAGAAAGTAACTGCCTTTGGGACATCAACTTGACAAAAGGCTGCTACAGTTCTTCAGTAGTTGAGAGTTCTAGAGGTGATGGTAACCAGTAGTCCCACCACTTCTCAACTAGCATGGATGAGATTTTCCGAAGAGCAGAAAATAATCCTATCAGAGGCCAAGAAGTCCTAGGGGAGGAAATCAGCTTTTAAAATTTTCTAAGAAACTTATTATGAAGTAGCTGATATTTTTGTGGTAACAGAAAATTTTTATATATATTTCTTTTCTTTTCTTTTTATTTTCCCTGAGAGGGAGTCTCACTCTGTTGTCAGGGTACAGTGCAGTGGAGTGATCTTGGCTCACTGAAACCTCCATCTCCCGGGTTCAAGTGATTCTTCTGCCTCAGCCTCCTGAGTAGCTGGCACTACAGGCATGCACCACCACACCCAGCTAATTTTTGTATTTTTAGTACAGACGGGGTTTCACACATTGGCCAGGATGGTCTCGATCTCCTGACCTTGTGATCCACCCACCTCAGCCTCCCAAAGTGCTGAGATTACAGGAGCGAGGCACCACACCGGGCCTTCAAGTGAGGTAATTTAAACTAGAAAAGATTGGGAGCACAAGTCATAATCAATTGGTTGGTTTCATAAAAAAATTAAAAAACATTCAAATTATATAAATGTAAACTTTAGGAAATAAGTAGATTTGGTGGAAAATGAACAAGAGAATAGATGAACATGATTTATAAAGCACCATCTTTTAATGAAATAGAAAAATCCAATTCATCGACATCAACCAAATAGATGTTTACTTCACTTGATTAACACTTGCTTTCACCTTTCATTCCACACACAATCCGAAGGTCACTTTACTCACGAGACGTCCTTTCAATGTTAAGACTTCAACTCACAAACAGTTAAGTTTTAGAAACACTTTTTAAAAAGGAAAAGAGTATTTAGGTTTACCAATAGGCTATTATCCTTACAAGACACTAGATGGCACTGGATGGTAAACAAATTCAGATCTATATAAATAGCTCCCACAGTTACCTGGAACTTGATATGTGGATGACTG